AGTCACATTTGAAAAATCTCACCGACTGCTTTTTCATGGCTTGGGTGTGGGGTACATAAAGAAGGGAACCGGAGCATGTGCCCTCCCGATACCCAGAATAAACTCAGCTGAGTGTGCACGGAGAAACGTACCTCGTCGCTGATGCGACAAGACCTTTTACCTCTAATCAGCATCATCCGTGCTTGCATCCCCGCAACGCCACGAGAAAAAAAAAGGGGCGAGCAGGAAACCGAAGACCAGAAAGTGCAGAATCACAGAAATGATTCGTGACCAAAATGGGTCACGATATGGAAATAGCCAGCAAGCAAGCTAACTGCGCCCCAGGCAGAAATGATCTAGGCAAAACCTTTTGCTGACTGTTGAGCGAACGGGCAGCTCCCCCGCTGTCAACACGAGAACATCACCTTACAATAAATAGGGGTCGCTGCTGCCCAGACACCCCGAGCGTGGGGCCTTTGGAAATGCACAGTTAAATGTCTGGCAACACGGCTACATTGTAGGTGTGAAAAAGATCTTAGTTTACTCGTGGTCCAGGTTTTCAAAAGAGCTCAATTCCCCTTCAAGCACCTCAATGAAGTGGCCAGTTTTCAGGGGATACGGTCTACGCGGAGTATTTGGGGATTAGATGGCCACTCCATGTGGGTGACTGAATGGTATTGGCGGGTGCGGAGATCGTTGCGGGCTGGGAAACCAGCCCTGGAAAGGTTTTCTATTCCAAAAGTCATCTGGATCGAAATGAACCCAGCTGAACAGGAGGTATCAAGAACGACCTTAGACCCTGAACCTGCAATAGTCTTACTTATGTGTTGCCTTTAGGAGCCCTGATGAAACCAATGGACTCAATAATGGCAGTCATGTTAAGCCCTGGGCGTAGCTAGAATTGGGACCTTATAGCCAAAGGGTTTCATTTCGAGTGAACTGGCACTAGACGAGGGGCGGGCAATTATTTTGGGCGGAGGGCCGCTTACTGAGTTTTGGCAAGCCATCGAGAGCCGCAAGACAGGCAACCAGGGGCAGATAAATATTAATTTTCTAAATTTTTTAGGGGCCCCGCGGGCTGGACAGAATGCCCTGATGGGCTGCATCCGGCCCACGGGCTGCATTTTGCCCACCCCTGCACTAGACGGACAACGGGGCTCAGTGTTGTCTGCAGGGAAAACTGCTATGGAAACCCCATCTTTGCCAACCCAACAAGGCTCTCGAGCTGTGAACTGGAGGAAGAGGGAAGGGGCTCTGTGTTAACCTTTGCTGACAGCCAACAACAAGCAGCAGCTCAACGCCGATGGCTCTGCATTTGGTGGTTTAAATCAGAAAAAAGCGTGCAAAGGGAGCGTGCACATTTATAGATATAAGAAAAATAACCCTAATTTTTCTTGTAATGAATTGGGCCCCTTGAGGCTCATTGTACTCCGCTGCTCCCGAACACAATTCACTACCACTGCCCCGCGAGGGGGACGCCCCGTTCAAAAAGTCTCTTGCAAGGGGAAGGACGGCACGTGAAATGCCATCGCTCCGCCAGCCGCGTTTCACTGCAAATGGAAACAGCCTCTCGTTTCAAGGGATTCGACCGGTTGGTTTTTTTTTGGTGTTTTGGGGTTTTTTTTCTTCCCCCTTGAATTCGAGGGGGAGTGGGAGGAGAGAGCTGGCACTCGGTCCAGGCAATTTTGACAGGCCTTTCCAAACTCCATACTGCTCTTTAGACTTGCCAGGCAGGGCGGTGTTAATTGAGGGTTAGATTTAGTTTCGTATCGCAAGTTCAAATTAAAAAAAGAAAAAAAAAAAAAAAAAGGAAAAAATTGAAAAAAAAGAGAAGAAAACGGAGAGAAAAAAAAAACAAAACCAAAAACCGAAACAAAACCCCACTCAAATCAAAAACAAATGATTTCAGGCACAGAATCGATCAATGCTCAGTTCAGTTGTAATGGGCACCAAAAGCACTCGGAGTAAAAAAATATGAGTTATGGAAGCAACATTCATCTAGCCAAACCCTCCGTGCCTCGCTAAGGGGCAACTCACCAGGTCTGTTTGCACTTAAAGCAAAACCTGAAGGGCAAAGCATGAGGAAGAGGCGGCCGTGATTAAGTCTGTTTTCCTCATCGAATATGTAGGATTGATTTTGCTTTTGTCTTCATCAAAAAGGGAAAGCGGGGGGGGCGGGGAAGAGAAAGAAAAGGAAGGGGGAGGATTCCCACAGCTGTCTGGCAAGTCACCCCTTAAGCTCTTTCTACATGCCACAAAATAAAACGGGTACGGATGATCCTTTGTAGCCCCGCAAGCAGTGCCAGTTTGCATGGAACGGAGTTCTCCTGACCTCTCACTTTGGCCTCCAGAGGATTCGCCTCTGACTCGATGCGTATTTGGGTGGTTGCCCTCAGGAGCCCTTTGTGCATTTATTCCCCTTTCCCCCTCCCCGCCAGACCCTCGCTAGCAAGTCTAGACGTCGGCCAAGCGACTGAAAACCTCCCCTCCAGGACTGAGTCATGAGTAAGCTGGAACCAGGTCCCGTCACCTTTTTTGCTGCGTGTCTCGTATGGACGTGATTTCTGGACTGGTTGCAAGGATGCTTTTTTGTTTTGGGTAACCCTTCCCTCTTCTCCTCCCCCAGTACCACTATGGTCGAAAGCAAGAATAAAGGGTAAGATGAATCCACAGGATGATCAATCAATGCGAGCGTATGCGTAAGATTGGAAGCAATTACATCTACTGGGGAGGCATTGCCGTGCCCTTTGTTCTTGCTCTGGGTGGACAGGCAAGGCACGGGCTAGGAAGCAGACGCAGAACAGGGTGCAGGTGAGTTCACAGCCCACTCATGATTGCGCTGAATGCTGAACTGCCTCAGCAAAGCCCTAATGCACATGTTCCCCTGCATTGAAATCCAAGGGTAATAAATGTGATCGGTAACAATTTATTTATTTCCCTTAAGGGGAAAAAAAAATAAAATAAAATTTAAGCTTTTGGAGGGGCAGAAAGAAAAGCTTTAACATTTCTCGCCAAATCCGGGCCGGAGCTTGCAGTAGGTAACAAAAGCAGCGGGCCGGAGAAACAAAGCGCTAAGCTTTAAATGGCAGGCAAATTAAAAATAATACTTGGAAACCAACAATGCAACACATGTGCTTGCAGCGGAGCCACTTTGATTTGGCTTCGTGTAATGCGTATTGATTGCCTGTACTTCAGGTAGCGCTTACAGTTGTACGACCCAATTAGAGTTTCAAAGGAAAGCAGATCTGGAGTGCACACGTGAGCGTTTTAGCATCTCTTATAATGTACGGTAGCAGATGCGATGCTTTTGTCTTCGGCAGAACAGACGCTCTGCTGGAGGAAATGACCATTCTGGCAACCAAGTTGTTTTAGGGTAAGGAATATTATTTTGAGGGTGAGGTGCAAGACAAATTAAAAAAAAAACCCCAACAAATATTGAGGACAGCTTGCCACCGTGCCTTAGGGGCCAGGCGAAGGAGCCTCCAAGAGGCCTGGATCCTTACCCGGGCCCACGGAGAGCGAATGGAAGACCAAGCTGCATTGTTAACCCGGTGCAAACTTCACGGGAGAAATGAAAACTTCCTCTTTTTTTTTTTTTTTTTTTTTCCTTTTTTTTGCCCTTAAACCGAAAACGAACAAAACAAACATAAAAGAAACCAAAATGAAAGGACCCTCATTGGACAGTTCTCATGGAAAACCTCCTGCCGCGTGCTCCAGGCCTCGCGGCCTCTGCTTGTCGTATGGGTGGCTTTTTCCTATTTTGGCTTGGTTTGGTTTTCAGGTCCCCAGGATAGGTGTGAGGAAAATCAGAGTAATGATGGACAGCTGCAGCCACACAGAATACCGACAGAGCTTTTACCTGCCCCTGCATTCTGCGGGTATGCCATGTAGCCGCCTCTTCCACAGGCCCCCCTACCTGATCCTCTTGCTGCCGCCACCGCTGCTGCTGCTACTGGTCCATAGGCTGCTGCCGGAAAACCTAGCCATGGAAAAAAGGAGAAGGGTAAAGGGAAATATCCAACGAACGGCAAGCGTCACGCAAACAGGGCAGAGTACTGTACTGCGCTGGGGCACAACCATGCTCGATTAAGGCCAGCGACTGCCAAAGGGCTTGGTGGTTTGTGGGGGGGGACCTCCCTTAAAAGGGCCAAATAGTCAGAAAGTGAATATTTTCACTCTCCCAGAAAATTAAGCCCCTTCAAGGTGGACCCCAAACTTGAAGCCTTTTGCAAAATGTTGGCGGTCAATTGAAACGGCTGTATGCTCCGAGGATGCCTTTTTATCCCGAGCAGCTGGCCTGGGGGCCACTGCAAGCTGTGAAGGACCAGGATTCATTCACAAGAATGACTCGCAGCGCTTAGCTCCTATCATCTTACTTCCTGAACAAGGAGGATACATTCGTTTTGGTCTTTGCTAACTTGCAAGAGGAAAGTCTGTGCAGTTTTGGACACACAGCGGTAATGATTAAAAAAAACAAAACAAAAAAAAACACCAGAAGGGCCTGGTTTCAAGATGACAAGGTTGCTGGGATCCAGTAGAAAAAAAAATGAAATCACTAGAATGCATTTTAACAGGGGGAAAGAAAAAAAAAACACAGCTTTCCAAAGCAAAAGAGCAGCAGGCCAAGGAAGGCCGGGTGATACGTCCTATGCAGAAGGGACGGTGACGCTGCACAAAAACGAGCTGTCACGCCTGCGGGATTTCCGATGCTGTTGCTTTGTGCAATGGCCAACGATAACAAAAAGAAATCTGCCAGGGACACTGAATTGCTCTTTTCTTTCTTTTAAAAAGGGGGCAGCAACAAGGAAAAGGTGATCGACTGAAACACAAGATACCCCCTGCTGCGAAGGCAGCAAGAAGCTCTGAAGGATTCCTGGCTTTGGCAAAACTCTCTTTTTTTTTTTTTGCATTGGTTTTGATGACGCGCAAGACAGGTGAAACTTTTCGGAGAGTCACTAACACAGCACCTTCCCCCTGCGCACCCTCTGCAACTTGGATCGTGGCTGCCTTGCAACACTGGAGAGACCACAAGAAAACAACCGAGACTTTTAAAGAAGCAGGTGAGACAGCGGAAGAGAGCAGAACAAACTAGAGAGAGAGAAACAAAAAAATCCAGAGAAAAATCAGCAAACTACAAGCCCGCTACCTCTATAGCTATCGTCCTAGCTACAAGTAAGGACGGGAAAAAACAAAAAACAAAAACTGAACAAAGACCAACTAGGCTAACGTAACTCTACGCTATTTGAAAACATCAATTAAAAAGACATACTTGCATTTAAATATGGCAATAGGGCTGTTGGGGGAAAAAAAAAGAAGTCCGGGTCAATATATGCACAGTGACCTCGGGCTAACGTCCGTTCCTGTTCCCACCACGCGTGGCGCAGCAAAGCCGACTATTTGGTGCCAAAGTGGATCTGTTGGCTCTTACTCTGTTGAGGAATTGTTACAAACCCTAAAGAGTAGGATGCATAGGGAGACCTGTTTGGAGGGATGGGATCAAGAGCCTTGGGAACAGGCTCCCGAATCTCCAGCACAGCCCTCGCACCAAGTAGGAGATCATAATTACTCCAATGACTTTGCAACGAACAGAGCACCTGCAGGTCAGGCCCTGGGACTGTAAGTCCTTCTCCACCTGCCTGTGATACGCAGCCTGTTAAATTCAGCACCGATCCATAGGAAATACAAACGCTTGGAAGCTCTCTGGGGGCTCCCTTGAATTAGCCCCAAAAGTTCAGGTGAGCCCTGGATTTTCCGCACAGTGATGTGCCTCGGCCTCATTCAAACATGTTCCCTTCAAGACCCAAACCTGCCTCGAAGCACGAGAGCTGGAACGTGCGCTTCTCTCGCCCAAGACTGAAGCGATGGATAAAAGTGACGGACAAAAAATAAGAACGATCTGACTCGGGCGGTTTCCTCTTCCAGCAGAAAGACTTCGAACAATAGATGCAATTTATGCCAGAGCCCAGTTTGGGCAGGTGTAG